ACTACCTAAAACTAACAACAGCGCTCTTCAACAGAATCGTCTAGAATCATCATCATCATCATTCCTCAACCTCTTGCATCCACTGTTGGATATAGGTCTCCTCCATGTTCTTCCACTGTTCTCTATCTTGCGCTTTCTGTATCTAATTTCCGACTGTTTTTCTCAAGTCGTCCATCCATCTTTTTGGTGGTCTGCCTCGGTCCTCTCTCTCACTATCCTATTTGGTACCATATCTCTTCTAGTTATTCCTAACATTGCTCTTTCCATTTTTCTTTGGGTTACTCTCAATTTATTTGCAGAATGTTTGGTTAAAGTTATTGTTTCTGACCCATATGTTATTACTGACAGTATGCATTGGTTGTAAACCTTTTTCTTCAAGCAAATCGGTAGCGTTCTTTTTAGAATATCTCGCATCTTGCCAAATGCTGCCCATCCCAAGCCTATGCGACGCTGGATCTCACAAGTTTGATTGTCTTTTCCAATTCTAATTTTATGCCCTAAATAGATATAGCTAAAGACCTGATGTACTTCGTTCCCATCTACCCTCATAACATCACTTGGAACTAAATTGGTCATGTATTTTGTTTTTTCAAAGTTTATTTTCAGGCCTATTTGTTCTATTGCCTGTTTTAGTTCTTCCGTCATTTTGTGAGCTTCATTTAAACTCTCGGCTATATTGACAATATCATCTACAAAGCGCAAGTGGCTTAAGTATTCACCATCAATATTTATTTCCCTTTTAGCCCAATCTAGTTTTTTAAAGGCATATTCCAGAACTGCAGTGAACAGTTGGGGGGAGATAGTGTCGTCCTGTCTAATTCCTCGCTCAATTCTATATTTATCGGTAAAGTCATGGAGTTTAACAGATGCTGTTGCGTTGTTGTATATATGTTTTATCAAATTTGTATATCTATAATCTACTCGGCTTTGTTCTAATGCTCCTAATACTGCCGATAATTCCACGGTATCAAAAGCTTTCTTGAAGTCTTTGAAAATCAACGTGAGTGGTTTATTATATTCAACACATTTTTCAATTAGTATTTTAAGTGCTTGTAGGTGGTCATTTGTTCCATAACCTTTCCTAAACCCAGCTTGCTCCTTAGACTGATAGAAATCTAATTTTCGTTCTAAACGTTTTGTGATGATCTTGGTAAACCATTTGTAGAGATGTGACAACAGACTTATCGGTCTATAATTCTCTAGGTCTGATATATCTCCTTTTTTGTGTATTAGGATAGTAATTGCATTGTTCCATTTTGTAGGGACAATACCTTGGTTTAGACATAGGTTGAATAGTTCAGTTACTACTTTCCGCAGTTTCTTGCCTCCTACTTTAACAGCTTCTATTACTATTTGGTCATCTCCCGGAGCCTTGTTGTTTTTCATTTCCTTTAGAGTTCGTTTTACTTCTTCTATCGTTATGGTAGGCAGAAGTTCGGATCCTTGGTTCATTACTCTGCGTTCTCTAATTTGTGTTAATCTTCTTCTGTTAACTGGCTTTTGTATAATTCTTCATAGAAGCTTTTTGCTATCTCTACTATTCTCTCTCTATTTGTTGTTATATTATCTTCCTTGTCTTTTAGTTTAACAATTTCCTTTTTACCATCACAAAGCTTCCTTCTGAGTATTTTCATATTTCCATTTTGCTCAATCACATTTTGTATTTTCTCAGTATTATACTTCCTCTGATCTTTACGAATTGCTTTTGAGATATCTCTGTTCAGATTTCTGAGTTCAGCTGAGTCGCCTTTCTGCTCTGATCTCTTGATTTTTCTTTCTTTAATTAGCTTTCTGGTGTTTTCGCTTAGTTTCTCTTCTTTTCCGGCTGGTCTAACACAGTACTTTTTTGTGCAGTCATTAACGCTTCTGTGATTGCATTATTTACGGTTTCAACATCTGTCGAAAGGGGGTGGTTTAAGGCCCGATTTATAGCTTTCACATATTCTTTTGTGTTTTCTTTTGTACTCCATTTGTTCAATTCTCTTCTTTTTATTAATCTTCTTCTTTCCTTTCTTTCATTTTTTAAGTTTAACTGTATTGTAGCTCTCACTGCTCGATGATCGCTACCAATGCCAAACTGAATTAATACTGTGACATCTTTGACATATCTTTTATGTGTTGTTATGAAGAAATCTATTTCATTTTTTACGTTTCCATTTGGGCTTACCCATGTCCATCGTCTATGTGGCTTCTTTTGGAAAAAGCTATTCCTCAAATATAACTGATGGTTATGAAGAAAATTTAATAGTGTCTGGCCTCTCTCATTTCGACCTTCTAAACCGTGTTTTCCTATTGCCGTCTCTGCATCATCAATTTGAGCTCCTACCTTGGCATTGAAATCCCCCATAAGAAAAGTAAAATGACATTTTGTTTCCGATAATGCTGTTGTTAAATCTTCATAGAAGTTTTCGATTTCTTCTTCTTCATGTGCTGATGTTGGAGCATAACATTGTACAACTTTCATTTTGTATCTATTATTCAGTGAAATTATTATGTATATCACTCTCTCTGATATTTGCTTAATTTCCAATATACTGTGTACATGTTTTTTATGGATGAGCAGACCAATGCCACCATTTGAGTTTTCCAGGTTGCCATTTGTGTATAGCATGTGACCTGATTTCAAGGTTATAAGTTGTTCTTCAGAATAGTCCACCTCTATTCTCACTTGTACGCACGCCTTCCTGTGGTAAGCCGGTCGATACATCTAAAGCTATGGTTTGTTAGAACAGTGAGCGACACATAACTCACAATCAGTCGAACGCCGCGCACGTTCGTCAAAATCAAAGAAATGGTTCTCTATGATAACGGTTTGTTAGGTTCTGCTGAGCTGCGCGCACTGCGTACCGATAGCCGTGTACTGTACATCGACGGTGTGCGCTGGAATCAACTGCGATTTGATTTGGACGCAAACGTTCAGCTGAGCTCACAACGTACACATCTATACTGAAATTATAATTGTATTTTTATATAATTATTATTATTGTAATAATTAAGTGATGTCTACTAAATTTTCTCCCGAGGAAATGAAAGACTAGTGGATCTAGTACAAATTGCTCGAAATTGTTCCTCGATTTGAAACAATCTTTCTTCGACTGTTAATTTAAAAGCACCTTCTGTATTCAGACATGAAAAAATTTCTATTGCATTTTTATTTCTTTTATTTAAATTTAACGTTATAAACTCTTTCTCTTCCCCCTCTTCTTGGAGTAATAAAATTATTACGTTATCCCATTGGAAATGGACCAGAAATGTCAAGTGCTAATCTTTCCATAGGACTAACAACATTATGCTGTTTAATGGGTGCTCTCTTTTTGCCAACTGGACTATTACTGGTTGCACACAGTTCAGATTTCCGACACCATCTTCTTAGATCAACTTTACAGTTCAACCAAAAGAACCGTTCTTGAACCATTTGCAGAGTCTTTGTAATACCAAAGCGTCTACTTGATGCACCGTCATGCAACTGACGCAATACTTCGTACACTTTACTTTTAGGCACATTCAACTGAAGCTTTGATTCTGTATCATCATCGTTCTCAAATGTTCTATACAAAAGATCATCTTTTAGTACCAAGTAATTCCATTGACTTCAGTAGGACTTGACTTCTGGACTACATCCACTAATGTCTAGCCAAAAAGGATCCCCTAGAATCACCACTAGAATCATCTGGAATAATCTGCCTTTATTCCCACTTGTATGAACACCTCACAAGTCGGTCGATACATAAGATACATCTTGAAGGTTCTCCAATGCACATCATCGTTCTAAGAGAAGCATCCGTTATATGGAGTACGTCGAAATTAGCTTTTACGTTACAATATATTACCAATTATTACAACTGGTAAAAGTAGAAGGTTTTATGAAAGATCATAACCCAAGAGATCATGATAACAATATACAATACAATAGTGATACCAAAGTTACTGTAAGCGAGTGAGAATTATATATTTAAAAAATAATAATATAGTTAAAAAAGAAAATTCTGATAATGCAAGACTTGGGATAATAAGGGAATGGGCAATCAAGAACTATTAATGAATAAAACAACAAAGATACAACTGACCTGGTAGGGACACTTGATTGGTAAGAATGAAATACAGTAGAATAACAAGAATAATGAATGAAACAAAGAATGATTCAACAAAGATAAAAGCAGACCAGAAAGAAACGGATAGAGCAAATTATAAAAACGAGAAAAATTAAGCAAAACTCTTAAAGAAGTGAAATAATGGCAGAAAATAGAAATGAATCGAAGAAATGGGTTAACAAAAAGTAATTTAACTAACCCAAAAAGGGCACTTGAAAGGGTATAAGGAAGGTGAAAAAGAAAGAAAGATTAGCAAATTCCCAAACAAAAGTGACAGTAGATTGAACAGTGTACAAGAAAATATAAAAAAAGTGATCACAATAAAAATCAAAATAGTCTAACGAAGGTATATGACGATTTCCAAATGGAGACATTAAAAATGGCAAGGGAATCAATGGATGAGAGAGGTTAGCCTGGCAGAAGTCTTGAACTAACTCTACAGAAGTTAGTTCATAAGAATATAGTTTACTATTCGCCTTGTTGAGTATTATTTGTTTAACGAAACATATAATGTGCTCTGCTTGATCTATTTTATTTTATGTACTATTTAGCAAGTTTCATAGATCGTTAATTAGAAGCAGCATAAGCAGTCATATTTTTTATTCTCCCGAAATATCGGATGTCTATACACATCCAATCCCTACATTTTAACAAACAATACTCCATCCAGCAAAAAAAAAAATTTTGCTCAATGCAATACTCTTACAACAAAGAAAGAATGTATTAATTCTCACAAGCATGACAAAGAAAGAAAGTATATGTTGCTAACTAAAACCAATAAAAGAATCTGTCTGTATCACATGACATGAACACGATTGACATTGAAGTAGTAGATTCTATTTTTCTAACTCGATGAGTAGAATAGTAGAAAACGTCAAACGTCAGTCAACGTGTAGAGGTAGAGTAGCAGCAATATTGTCGAATAGTTAAAAGCTGCAATATTTTAAAAAAGATCAATTAAAATGGCTCAAAATAGCGAACAATTTGATATTAAAATAGTCAAAAATAATTTTGAAGCATCTTTACTAGATGACGACGATGTTCGCTTACAAGAATATTTAGATAGTTTTGATGAACTTAACAAGTAGGTATCTTTTGTTTACTAAGACTTTATCACAAAAATAAAAAATTCCAGATTTTTTACCTTAATGGGGAGGATGTTTGGATTTGTTAGTAAAGATTTAAAAGCAAAAATTGATATTTTGAGAAAGTTCATTGAAGAATCACAAGAGAATTTCATCAGTGCTAAATCTATGATAATTTATGAAAAGGAAAATGATTTATTAAACAAAAAGAAATACGTTTCCGGATCCAGGACATTACTTAGGTTACATCGAGGTCTAGGTAAGTTTTGATCCTTTATAACTAATAGGTATTACAGTCATTGAAAGTCATAAATCAAATAATATTGTCTATAAACCTATTCAGAGAAGATAAGGCAAAAATACTTATTGTATAGTACACTCTTTATTTATCCTTAACCGGTATAAATCAATATTTAAACCCTGTCAAAAGAAATTTTATCCTCAATCTGATTGTGTGTTTCTTTATCAAATACAAATATTAGACAATTCCTATCACTTAGTAATATAAAATGGAACTTACAAATAATGTGATAATCTGATAATATAACAAGCTTAATTTACTCATAAAGTTCATGTTTATGAATTGATGTGGTCATAGTATAAGTAAATAAGTCAAATTACCCTTCACTTCAAATTTTACTAAATCACAAAAACCACTAGAAAATAATATGTGACATCAGCAACGCCTTTTAATCCCATAGGATATGTTTTTTATCCAGTTTATAAGGTGGATTACTCCTCTTTTTCTTACTTTTTATAGTTTTAGGATGTGACCTGGCTGGGGTAGTAATTTTGATATCTCTGTATTTTGTGTTCCGATCTGATATTCCCATTAATTTATATCTTAGTGTATGTCATGCCACTGTCTCGTTCTTGGCCCTCGTTTACATCTTTGATGCATTGGACTTCAGTTTGTAATTACTCTAATTATTTCTGTTGGTGATCTTCTCATTACCTGTTCTATCCATTATAATTGTTTTAATTTTATATATCTTTTGTATTTACTTTCTCTATCCTATCAAATGCTTCTTTTAATTCTATTTTTCTTGCTGCTGTTCTTTCAGCATCTCTAGTTCTTCTTCTAATTGTGCTTATTTTCTAGAGATGTTGGTGACCACATTGATCCATCTTATTCTATTCACAGCAGCTCGAAATAGATCAGTTGATGTTAGACCAGTCCATTTCCTAAGATTGGCGAGCCAGGATATACATCTACGTCCAGGGCCTCTCTCTCAATCTTGCCCTGTAGAATCTACTGTAGAAATTGGTATTTATCATTACGCATGATGTGGCAGAAGTAACCCAATTTTCTGTTTTTTATGGTGTTAATAATTTCTTTGTCTTTTCTTAGCCTCTGGAGAATAGTTATGTTATTTGTGTGTTGTATATATGAGATCCTCACCAGACGTCGCTAGCACCACATTTCAAATGCCTCTAATTGGTTTATGGTATCTTCTGTAAGGCTCCACTTTTCTACTCCATAGAGGAGGACAGTAAAGACATAATATCTAAGAATTCTTATGCATATATTGATAATGATCTCTAGTTTAGTCTAAATACGGTTCTAATGATTTTTTTTCTAGTTTTTTTTAGGTTCGTTTCATCTGTTATAACTATGGTTTTATCAATTGCAAATGTTATTGTGAACCTGACTAATTAGATTTTCATCTTTGTGTTCTTAGGCATTTATCATTGGAATTACCTTTTTTTAATTATAGCCACTGTCACTTGATTTCTAAAAGCAGTTATATGCTATTACTCACTTTCTCCAATGTTTAGTTGTAGTATAGTCAAATTAGTTTTAAGTCTACTCTTTGCCTTAGTCCTTTTAATTATCCAGTTAGATATAACCTTGTTGCATGAAAAAATTATATTTTGCTTCATCTTGATAATATCAGTTGCTTCACTGTTTATGTGTTTGTTAAATATTTCTACACAGATGTTACTTTATTTTTAAAATTGCTAATCTTAGCACTATCAGTTATTACCAGTTTTATTTTTCTTAAAAGTTTACATTACTTTCTTACAATTTTGTAGGTTATTTTTAGATATCAAATGAATATCATCATTTTATCTAAAGGTGCTTTAACCTTAATTTTATTTTCATTACAGCAGTTACTGATCCACTGATCAACTATCATTAATTTTTAATTGACTTGACATTACTATTGACAAGATTCTGTGGCCTAAAGGCCAAAATATTAGTTTTATTGTTTTTGTGATTGAACCTGAAACTTAATAGTAAATGAGTGATTGAGATTTTTTAGTTGTGGTACTATTTTCTTAAGAAATTAGGGATTCAATCAGGGATTGCAGATTATATACAAATGCTACGATAATTTTTAATGTTGTCTTTCTGACCATTTTTAAATATAGAAAGAACCTGACTTTCTTTCCATGAAAAATTGACTGGTCTAGCTTGATTGTAATTGGATGTTTTGATAACTCTGACAACATGTGATATAGTGAAGTCCTCCTACTGTAAGCCAAGTAAAAGTAAGACCTTACACACCTGAGATTTGTCATAGCTAATCCGATCAGCTAGTACATTAGAGAAGATAAGGTTGTGTGAAGAACCACTACTTTCAAAATAAATGATGTTAATCATTTTTTTCATCAAACTGGCATAAAAAGATGATTGAAAGAAATGTACTGAACATTTTAACAAATAAGTGACTCCTATGTTGAATGTTTGGAATGAGGTGAAGCCCTTAGCGCAAAATAGAACCCGATGGCACGTTTTCACTGAAGCTCTATGCTCCACTTAGGAGTTCAAGAACCTTATATATATATATATATATATATATATATATATATATATATATATATATATATATATATATATAAATAGAGTGTGTATAACGACGCTAAGAATACAATTCTTTGGAGGGTAACTTTCGGGAAAGCGTCAAAACAAGGATCAGCTAGAGATGGTATAAGCCAGCTTGGTGTAGAACTTTATTCTATATGTGAAATTTTCGGTGATATGTTGTCACCTTCATCAGCACCTAAATGGAAAACCTATTATAGTACAGTGGTGGAAATCAACAGTGTGCAAAAATGTGCAAGTACTAAAGAGGGTTGACAACCAATTTAAGAGAAACTTCATAGAAATGTGCTACATCCATAACTGCAGCTCTCCTATGAACTGTAAGAAAGATGTTGAAAACTTAAGTTGTATTTATTCCTTTCTACTTCAACAGGACTTGACAAGAAGTAACAAACTGGAAAATGTGGGGAACTTATCATGACATGCATAGATTACCTACCTGTGCTTTAGAGGGGACTTCATTTCCTTGCTTATTATGTTGCCTAGGGCTCTTTCTTTTCGTATCCATGTGGTTGTGATGTGCAAAAGTGAAAATTATAACCTCGTTACATATGACACCCGGATGTTGACAGAAATATGTCATCAAAAAAGAAGATTAATTCTTCTTTTCTATTTGTAGTTTTTGTAGGTTGTAAATTTTAGACTTTTTGTTGTGTTTGTATTTGAAAAACTACCCTGTTGTTGTAATGTTTTTATTCAAAATTTTAAATGTATTTTTTAATATTTTTAACATGTTTGTGACAGTGTTTTTTACAACTAGGACCAACTGAACATTTTCAATGTAGGTTTTTAAATGTTGATTTCCACCACTGTACTATAATAGGTTTTCCATTTAGGTGCTGATGAAGGTGACAACATATCACCGAAAATTTCACATATAGAATAAAGTTCTACACCAAGCTGGCTTATACCATCTCTAGCTGATCCTTGTTTTGACGCTTTCCCGAAAGTTACCCTCCAAAGAATTATATATATATATATATATATATATATAAATATATATATATATATATATATATATATATATATATATATTTATATATATATATATATATATATATATATATATATATATATATATATATATATATGTTGAATAATTGTGAAGATAATTCAAATTTTATTTAAGTTATTAATAACTTAGATAGTGATTTTGTAAGTGTGATGTTTTTGTAGAAGAAAATACTGTTTCAATACACCTGTTACGGCATGGATCTACCTTAATAGTGAAGAAAAAGCACAGATGTATGGTGTGATAGTTTTACTCTAAATTTATTGATGCACCCTGAATATGTTTTGCATGCATAATGATGTTTTTACTCTCCAAACGTTTTTCCAGATCTTAATGAGTTTCTATGTAGAAATGTTTCAAAACCTCGTGGACCTCGTAAATGCGCATGCCCGAAAAAATAAATGGATCCTAAAAACATGCACCATTTTAATTTCATAGGAAATTGGGCGACAGGGTAGGATTTGCATGTGCTAATGATGTCGAAGTATTTCCAATAAACATAACATATTATGTTTCTCCAATCTTAAAAATTCCAATTAGTCATCGCATGTTTATTTTATCTCACATTGAAAGATGTAATAAAAATTTACGACTTTCCGTCTTCACTGCTGATAAGAATTGCTGTGTAAAAATGTAAAATATTTACATTGCACTAATTTGGCTTGTAAATAAACCTTTTAAGAACTGAAAAAAATCTAGGACAAATAAATAAATAACAAATTAATGTATGATAGAAAAATAATAGGATTTTGGTTGTAAATTCAGCAAAACATGTTTATACGAGACGAAAACCTTAAATTCCCTGGGGAAAATATTCGCATGACATTTTTTGCATAATCACTTTCATAAAAGACCGCAGAATATTGTTCAAGAGGTCGCCCATACAAAAAGTGGTCCTAATTTATTAAACAGTTTTGTATAAATCCATTTTTAGGTTGGGATAAGGCCCTCAAACAACTAAAAACAATGTTTTAAAATCAAATAAGCCCAATCTAAAGTATCAGAAATTGATAGAATTTTTGGTGAATTCAAAAATAATTGTGTGTTTTTAAGCCACTTTTCGTTTTTTTTTTCAGTTTTAGATTGTTTATAAGTTATAAAATGAAAATATAAAAAGCTATTTCACTAACGCAAAAACTAGTTCGTCTCTGTCTCGCTACGGTAACGCACTGAAGAGAACTGCATGTTTTTAGCAATGCCTGATTTCCTTGTTTAGTTCGTAGATCGACGTCACTAAACGATTACGTCAGGTCCAGGACATTATAAATTATCTTTACATATGTTAACTGTTTACTCTATTGAAAATTGATGGGTATTTACAGCACATTAGTCTTAATTTTCATTAAGAACAGGTTCCTTTAAACAATTTTCAAGAACTCGAATCTTCCGTTTCTCAAAAATTGCTAGAAAATACTTT